TTAATGGTTTAATTTGCAGAATTTCATGATTTTTTATAGCAGTTTGTGCTTTATGTTACACGAGTTTTTGTTCTGTTGACTGATGACATACTTTTCAGCTTCAGCTTCATGTCAGCCAGGCATTGCAATATGTAAATATACAAATGGTTTTACCATTACTGCCTGCATGAAAGCCTGAATGAGCCTGTCTGCCTTCCAGCTGCTGTATGTCAGGTATATCTTGAATGATGTATGTGAAAGGAAGGGATATATTCAATATGTAACAAAATTAATGTTAGCAACGCTGCACCTCAGAAGAAATTTGTTTAGGACAGAAATATATATTTCAAGATGACTTAGTAAAAGCAAGTTGCAATTTGCCTGTCATGTTTTCCTGAAGCTCACTGGCATTGTCAGGTCATGTATGGCTCAATAAAAAAATGCTAATTTTTTTCTTGGGAACTTGTTTCTTAAACATTTAAAAAGCCTTTAGATGACAGGAAGCATTATCATTTGCGAAAATAGCATTGCAATGTTCAAGTTCAAGAGCAATAAACAGGAAATTTTTCACAAGGCATATGACAAAATAATGATTGTCAATGAAAACGTCTTATTCACATAGGGGTCTATTCACAAAGCTGCCGAAGGATCTAGCCGTAGCTTCGGCTGATCCTTCAGCTAGCTTCGGCCCCAGGACCCCTTCGGTTCAGTAGACTATAGCCCGTATTCACTATAGCCCGTACAGCTCCCGAAGTCGGCCGATCGGGTCAGTCGAGCCTAAGGCATATGATTCGGCTCGACTGAGCCGAGGTGAAAGCCGAAGCTGGCCGAACGGCCGACCATTGGCTGGCCGACTGCATGCTACTGACTGCTGGGCAGAGCCAGCCATCATCTCACGGCTGGCTCCGGCCACTTGCACAGACAGATTAGTGCCCCTGGTTACCAGGTAACCAGGGACTCTGATCTCCTGACAGCCCAACTCACCCGGACGCTCCGGGAGCTCCCGGCCGCCCGGGAGAGAAACACTTTCTCCCAGAAAGGTTTACTCTGCTCGATCTAGCAGAGTATACCTTTCCCTACTCTGTTTTTTTTTCTTCTGACATCGGAGCCGTTGGCTGCCGTCAGAATAAAAAAAATCACCATAGGAATGCATAGCTAGATTCCTATTGGCTATTTCAATTTGCTAAAGCCAATAGCAAACTAGCTATTGCAACAGCTCACTGCTGCTGTCAATCAGCAGATGGGGACCTGAAGTTCTCCATCAGGTCCTCTCTAGTGATTGACAGCAGCAGAGGGTGGGTGCAATAGCCAGCTTGCTATTGGATATTGCAAATTGAAATAGCCAATGGGAATCTAGCTATTCATTCCTATGCCATTTTTTTTATTCTGACAGCAGAAGCTGTCAGAATAAAAAAAAAGAAACTTGCAGATAGCAAAGAAGCTATTGCTTTCTCTGCCATCTGCAATCATTTCAGCGGGGTGCTCTCTCCCCCCTGCATTACAATGAGAGTTTAGCAGAACCAGAGGTGATATGAAAGCCGACTCTGCTATTTTTTTTTAAAAACTGTTTTTCTATTCTGCTCGGGACCACAGAGGTACTGAGCAGAATAGCCGAGCGAATGCCACTTGGCGGCATTTGGCTATTCACTCACTGTTGTTGGGCCCCTATGAGAATAGGCCTAACAGCAACGAGAAGCCTGCTGGAGGTTCGGCTCAGCTGATGTAGATGTTGGATCGGCTGAGTCAAACTCCTTCTGCACTTCGGGTCGGCCGAGCATCCTGAGCATGTTCGGCCGACCTGAACCCAGCCGCAGCAAGCTGATGTACGGCTGATTTCAGTCGGTATTTGGCTGAAATCAGCCGTACAAGCCTGAAGTGAATAGCCGAACAGTGTTCAGCTCTCTTCACTTTGGTTTGGTTATTCACTCGGCTGCCTATGGCAGTATTGTGAATAGACCCGTATATTTATGTTAAATACTACTATACAATTTAGCATGAACTTTTAGATTGAAGCACTTACCGACTGTTGGCATCTTAAAAATCCTATTTGTTTAATATGTTTAAAATTATTTTGGCTGTGTTGAGGCAAGCCCTACCAGACATGCTATATTGACATTGTATGATCTCCTTAATTCGATAGAGGAAGGACAGAAACTGCCCTTTATCTCAGACTGGGAGAGAGACCTGGGAGTCTCCTTTTCCGATGATCAGATTGATAAAATTATTTCCCTTACCCATAAGGCGTCTATCAGCAACTTTTAACAAGAAGCCAGCTATAAATTGTTGACTAGATGTTATAGGGTCCTATCCATCGGTGTCTGGTATATGCTGAAGATGTGGAAAAGATAGGGGAACGCTCCTACATATTTTTTTTGGAGTTCCCCTGCTCTGCTCAGTTTTTGGTCTTTTGTTAGGGTGGTCCTACGAAAATCCACAGACAACCCTGCTCAAGATGAACCAGCCTTCTTACTTCTACATCACAAAGAGATTCCTGGCAAATCATACAGCAATTCAGTGCTCAAATTTATCTCTGCAGCAAAAGCTTGTATTGCAGCTTCTTGGCTTTGAGTAGAGCCTCCTACGATGGCTATGTGGTTTGCTAGAATTAATGATAATAAGATCATGGAGGATCTTACTTCTATGTTGCACGACAAAAGCTTCTGCCTTCAATCGTAGGTTGTTTTATTGACTGAAATTCAAATCCTCACTTGAATACCTGCTCTATTGCTCTTCTTGAAGTACCATAGCAACTCTGCAACTGAGACAAAATATTATTTGGGGCAGACATGGTGGAACTACCTCAATCCTCCAACCTTTTTTTCTCTCTTAATTCTCTTCTTCTTGGCTTTTTCTTCTCATTTGGTTTCTGTTTTCCGTTTTCCTTGATCTTCTACTCAACTGCTACGTCTTCTTTGCATTATAGCCATAAGCAATTGAGTCTGTTGGTTTTGTTTTAAATATTGTTCTTTATTCTGTATTCATTCTTAATTTTAGTTTCCTTAAAATAAGCAGTCCCTGAAGGGCAGTGGCTAGGTTATATGCCTCGATCAAATACAATTAATGTATTTATGTGTGTTGGGTTGGATCAAGGGGTGTTCGTACAGTCTATACATGTAGTTAACTATATTGTGCTTGTTTGTAGCTCAGGGCTCTTTTGTTTAAATAAAGAATTTATAAAAAAAAATTGTTTGGCTCTTGGGGGATGCAGTGTCTCAGTCTCCTATCAAAACACTCAGCTCTATTTAAAATTGTTAAGAGCTAATACCTGTGATCACTTTATTAGTTAGAAAACTTCTTTGGTTTAAAGCGGCACTGATTTGGTTCAAAGACACCCTCTCGCCAGAACATTAATTTCAACAAAACTCTTCCCATAAGCTTATATGGGCACTTAACATATTTTATGCATGTAAAAGCCTCCTGTTTGAAGATTTCTAGAGTCTCAAAGCTGACACATATTTTATACTACAGTATTCTCCTGGGCAGCACAGATAGTAATTAGACACTCCCAAAATAGGAGAGGGCTATGACGTGCAAGGAAGGAGAGGGCTGTTCTAGAGAATTGACTCTTACCGAAGAAGTAAAGTTTTCTATCTAGTTCAAAGGCACCTTGCAAGTGAATAAAAAATATTTATGGAAAGGAAAAAAAAACACACCAATTTTGCATTTAAAAAGCTTGACATTTCTGTACTTTTACCTGCAAGTGATGACCGGGTCTCTTTAACCACTTGAAGGCCGAGGCGTTAAATCCAGGCAATTTTTCAGTATTCAGGTCTGAGGAACTCTCATTTATTCGGTCATGCAACGCTGTACTGAAATTATTTTATATCATTTTTTGAGACAGATCTTGTGGTGGTTTTCTATCAACACTGGGTTTTTTAAATGTTACTATATAAAGAAAAAAATACTGAAAATAAAAGAAAAGGTTCCTCATGTTATGAAACATTTATTATTATCCATTTTTTTTGTAAAATATAAAAGATGGGGTTGTGTTGTGTAAATAGATACCAAACATATAAAGCCTTAAAATTGTGTGCTCCTGTGAAATTGCAAAATTGCCCATATGTAACGCTTTATAAGCTTTTATTGCTCATTAGTTTAGTGTTGACAGTGATTAATGGCCCTAGATTGATACACAATCATCATCTTTGCATATAGGGGCACCCAATGCATGAATATGCTTCTATGTGCGTGTATCTGTGGGCGGGGACTTTAGGTTTTTTTATATATATATATTTTTTATGTGACTTTAATATTTTAACACGCCCCTATGTGATAGCACAGATACAGTGACAGGTCCCCTTTATGGAGACATCAGGGATCTTTTAGACCCCTAATGTCACCTAGGGACCCCAAGAAGCTCATATGATATGATACATAAATTGGGCAATTTCTTCAATTATTCTCGATGGGTATCCTTCAAGCATCCTATGTTCCCAATTCCCAATCTTTAGGTACTTCACCCTCCTGAAGAAGCACAGACATTGAAACGCATCAAGGACTGGACCATTAAACATATTTCTATGAAAAAGTTATACGTGTGTGATGTGTTTAGGTCCAGGAGGTATTACTTATAGAGGTAATGATGTGGATCTCAGGCACTGGGAAGGGAACAATGTTTTAAATAAATGTATGGATCTTTTAATTAATTCAATTTAATAAAGTGATTGTTTTTTAAAAATAGTTTTTTTCCAAACTGTGGTTTACTAACACCGTTAAAACCCCAACAATATTTTGTATTGTCTTTCTAATAATAGTATTATATATAGTTGTATATACTGTATATATAGTTATAGTTACATTTTATTTTAAAGTATACAATTTGGCAAGCGGCCCCTATAGGAGAAGAAAATGTGTCCAGTGGCCCCCAAGTTAATTGAGTTTAAAACCCCTGGTCTGATTAGACAGGGAAATGGCAATAAGTATAGCTTAGGCCCTAATAATAAAATGTGCAATAATTTTTCCACATTAAACAGTTATTCAACTGCCAAAAGTCTTTATTTCCTATGAGTTGGTATTTTACCTCTTGAAATATCTCACTTTAACTTCACATGGGTAAATTTTCCACTTTCTTCAATATACCTGATAAAGCCTCACAATTATCACCAGTCACACTGTAGTGGTATTTCAACACACAAAAACCCTGCGTTAATCTTTTCAACTTAACATGCGAAATGCCACAAATAGGTATAGAAAAGTAGATGCCCACTACTGTATCCTTTTTTAGTCAATTTGAAAAATCTTTATTGTTAAATGAAATAGCACCTCCCACCAGGCATCAGTCTTTTCCCACTTATTTATTTCATCCTATATACCAGGGGTGCCCACAAGGTCGATTGCGATCTACCCGTCAATCGCGTAGCGATCACTGGTAGATCACACTGTCCTCTCCTCCCGCCGCTTCTCTGGATCCCCACTGCTCTCCCCAGCGGGGATACGAGAAGAAGTGAATGAACCGGCGAAGATTCATTTAGAATAGAGGCTGCAGAAAAAGAGATTGAGGACTTTGTGTCCTCAATTTCTTTTTCTATTTTAAAAGACCCCTAATATTTTAGACCCCTAATATTTCCCCGAAGCCCCCCCAAGAGTTAAAAAAAAAAAATTACGAAAATTAAAAAAATAAAAATAAATAATGAAAATAAAATGAAAAATAGTAAAAAATAAATTAAAATTTTTTTTTATTTTTTCTTGCCTCAGGCGCAAAAGGAGCTGGCTACGGCTATGCTCCCATGGTGCTCGTGCGGCTGCCGGCCAATGTGTCAGACACTGCAGATGGAAAGGTGCAGGACACCCCATGTGCAACGTCAGCCACACGAGCACCACGGGAGGACAGGACGCCGGGACCTGTAGGGCGCACTGGAATGTAAGCCAGCCAACTCCCTGCGTTCAGGTGCGGGAGGGGGTGTGGAGCTGTATTGAAGTCAATGGCATTGCCCACATTGCGATCGCCCACACTCGGAACGCAGGCACATTAGTGCCTGCATTCCGGTCCAGTGCGATCTGCAAAAATAGTGCTAGCAGAATTTTTGTGGATCGCACTGGACTGGAACACAGGCACTGATGCAGGCGATCACACTGTGGGCGAGGGGCCTGCCTGCGGAGCCTGGCTGCGGTGTCATTGACTTCAATGCACCACCATGCCCCCTTCCGCCCCTGAATGCAGGTGTTTTTTCGTTGGTAGATCTCAGTGAGCTCGTCATTTGAAAAGTAGATCTCCAGACAAAAAATAGTGGGCGCCCCTGCTATATACAGTATGTATGCCTCTACGATTAAGTCCCTAATAGGATAAAACACATCGCACTACAACAGGACCTAAGCAAAACTGAGGCATGGGCTACAAGATGGCAAATGCGATTTAATGTTGAAAAATATAAGGTTATGCACATGGGGGTAAAGAGCATGTGCACAAACTACTACTTGTGGGTGCTACATTAGGGAAAACAAACATAGAAAAAGTCCTGGGGGCAGGGCCAGCCTTAGGCCTTTAGGCGCCCTGTGCGAGAAAGCTCTACAGCGCCCCTCAGTGACCACACCCGTCAGTGGCCACACCCATTTCTCCAATATCCACATCATTCAGAGTCCCATTTTGTTAAGCCCCAAAGAAACATATTAAAAAGTATGATAAAAATAAAACTTTTACTCAAAGGTATTAAACTTGTAGGCACAATATAAGTATTCTTATTAAACAAAACAATTGTAGACAAACAAATGATAAACAATAAATGTCAAACTAAAATAGAGTCTATAAAAATAAAGTGTCAGGGTGTCACGCAGTCCCTTTTTTCAACTAAGTGTATCTAGAAAAGTAAAAATAAAAAACAGAACAAAAAATCTAGACTACGTGTTAAATTAATGATGTATTACTATTTGCCTGAATATACGAAAAATGTATTCAGGCACATAATAATTTGTTTGAGAATGTGCGGCGGCCATGTTGGCCGCCGGCACGCTCTGCGAATGTGTGCCACCATCATGGAGACGTAACACGCCGATACAGGCGCCGTCATCTTGGTGTATACCTAGATATACAACAAGATGGCGGCGCCCAAAATGTGCGGTGTCATATGACGTGATGCACCCTGTCTCCAGAACACGCCAGTGTCTGAATCCAAAATAGCATAAATATTTATTTTGTTTGATGAAATGAATGAAAACGTGTTTAGTTTTCGTTCATTTCATCTGAAATTAATTTTTAGTCTTTGCACATGTTTAATAATATGTGTGTGTGTGTGGGGGGGAGGGGGTAATTTTCACTTTTTTAAAACAATTTATTACATTTCTTTTCATTATTATTTTTTTTACTGTTTGGGGGGGCTTCTGGAAAATATTAGGGGTCTAAACAGACCCCTGACATTTCCCTTTTAAAATAGAAAAGAAACTGAGGACACAAAGTCCTCAATTTCTTTTTCTGCAGCCTAAGCACTCAATGAATGGGAAGCACTCAGTACAGAGGCTTTCCATTCATTCAGAAACTGATGATAGTAAAACATTTTACTATCACCAGTTTATGAATGGGGAGGAGCATCTGTAGTGAGTGCTACTCCCCATTCAGAAACTCATGAATGAACAGGAAGTGATTTAAATCACATCCTGTTCATTCATAACTAGGGACACATAGCACTATGTGTCCCCAGTTATTTACAAACATTGAAGTGATCAGACAATCACTCCAGTGTTTGTTCCGCACACACAGAGGATCGGTAAAAGTCACAGATATTTACCGATCCTCCGCTCGGCCAAGCACACAGCCGCTGTCATCCTGAAGCTGACAGGATGACAGCGGCTGCTCTCTCTTCCCCGCTCGGCTGTCCTGAAAGCAGGTAGCACTCCCTCCTGCGCCCCTCCCTCCTGGCACCCTTGTTGCCATGGTGCCCTGTGCGGCTTCACAGCTCGAACACCTCAAAGGCTGGCCCTGCCTGGGGGTCCTCATAGATCACAGATTTGGCAATAGTAAGCAATGCCAAGCAGCAGCCAGTAAAGCTAACAAGATACTGGTGTGTATTAAAAGAGGAATTGTAGCAAGGGATCAAAGACTAATACTTCCACTTTATAAATCATTGGTTCGGCCCCATCTTGAGTATGCGGTACAGTTCTGGTCAGCAACTCTCAGGAGGGATGTCTTGGAACTGGGGAGAGTCAGGGAAGCGCTACAAAATTAATGAAAGGGATTGAAGGCCTGAGTTATGAAGACCACATTTAAAATCTAAACTTGTCCACCTTAGAAAAGAGGCAATTAAGGGGACATTATTGCAGTCTTCAAAATCATCAATGGGGACCCCAATATTAGGAACAAGCTGTATAATCCCAAAACTGTATTGAGAACACGGAGACACAACAAGAGGTTAGAGGAGAGGGGGGATCAATCTTAGAATTTGCAAGTGATATTTCACTGTGAGAGTGGTGAAAGTTTGGAACTCTCTACCACAGACAGTGGTATCTGCTGATAACATTGATACATTCAAGAAACTCCTGGATGAGTTTCTTCTTTCGCAAAATCTACAGGGATATGGGAGGTGTTAGAGCCAGATAAATACACACATGCACAACACACACACATATACATAGGTTGAACTGGATGGACCTTGGTCTTTATTCAGCCTTACATACTATGTTACTATGTTACTAGAGGAAGAGAGCTGAGTCCAGTGGGAGGTACTATCTCCCCAAACAATAAAACCTTTTCAATTTGATAAAAAAGGATACAGTAGTATGCATCTACTTTATAACTATTTGTGGCATTTTGCATGCTAAACTGAAAATATTAACACAGGGTTTTTATGTGTTAAAATACCACTAAAGTTTGGTCATAATTGTAAGGGTCTGTCAGGTGTCAAAAAGGATACAGCATTATGGCACTACTTTGTATACCTAAATGTTTTTGGGAAGTGGATGGGTTCCACTTGGCCTGAGCACCAGGAATCTGGAGCGCTACCACTTTGGGGTATCAAAAAGTTAACAATATAACTTTTATGCAGTAAATTCTGCTTATCTCGGTGGTAAAAACTTTAGGGCTTGGTCACCTTACTGCTCTGAGGTTAGGTGCAGTTAGATGTGGATGTTACTGCAATGTGTGGTAGCTCAGTGTGCATGTTTTACTGCATTGTGATGCCATTAACTTTCAATACAACTGCAAAATATGTCCAAATACAGTTAATTGCAGTGCCCAAAAATGCACAAACGAATGCAGCATAACCTATTTTTTCATCCATTGAGGTGCATTACAGCCTTTTCATTTTGAATGGACTACCTAATGCAGTGCCACAATGCACAAAAACACATACGCTGCAGCACACTGCTTTTGGTGCGAATGGGTCCTTAGAGAACTGAAAACATTTAATACAATACCACACAATTTAGTGAATCATCCTTTCTGTCATAACTTTTTGTCCAAAATGACATTTGTATTGAATCTGTGATATGTGCCTCTTATTTTTCTGTTTACTTCTGTTTCTGGTTTTATCTGTGTCCTTTCATTAATATCATGCTGCCCTTTTATTTAACATTTTATGTTAAATTTTATTTTAAGCCGAATATGGGAAATCAACCACAAGGTAGCAACAAACACAAGGAATGGATAGAGCAAACTCTAGCTTTGTAAATAGGTTCTCTAGAGCCAGGCAGGCATTTTTATGAAGCATTTACATCTTTTTTATATTTTTAACAATTCTGGTCATATTATGAGTGTAACAATTTGAAGTCTATGTCTAGTAACACTGGTGGTCCTTCAGCTACGATTTTCCAATCCAGATAATCACAGAGCAATTGCTGAAGCATTTTGTTCAGGCATTTTCCACTGCCTCCAATTGCTCAAATAGCTCCTCTAAATACGGAGTGTTTTTGAAAGTAATTTTGAGATTTGCCATGCAAAGAAAAAAGTAACAGTTGCGGATCCCTCTATTATAGCTAAGATGTGCACTTTGTGTTCCTTTCTCTCCAAAACCATTGATTTTGTAAAAGCAAATCATTGCGGATTGTAAAAGTAAAGATAGTATATCTGTCTTGCCAAATGAATAGATATCAATGAGGACATTTTTG